TCTTCCAATTGCTAAGTTAGGATATCGGCATACTTTATTCGTACTAACCGGTGAAAACTATAATTAAATGGAATAAGGTAAAAGCATAAGCATATGCCTGAGTCAGTCTGTATTGTGTTATTATCTAAGCCTACTAGGCCTAGGCCCTAGCTCAGTGTGATTAGTAATTAGCAATTATTCGTTTCTGAGCCTGTATTTTCAATGCATAAGTACTGCCTAAATATCATATAGATTCATAACTAGAACATAGTATATGCTTACCACTATTGCCAGCAAAGAACACTAAACATTAACTTCGAACTAGAACATGGGAGTGCTTCCCCTCCATCATAGGTCTAGGCCTAGTCCATGCTTTCCTCCTCTCAATAAGGGTTACCAAGGGAAAAGGTCATATTTCAACAATAGAGGGGGTACTATCAAAATAACTAAACAAGAGAAATAATCGAATGCCTTTACACTCCTCGCCTGAGGGTTAATCCCTCACAACTATAGTTATCTAAATCATATCGAGGAATGATAAACAATTAAACTTGAAATGTCTATTCAATTATTTTTATCGGCTTGTCTCAAAATAATCACAATCTCCCCAATCGGTCGTAAGTAAGTCCTCTTCGCTCCATCTCTGAACACGGAAATTCACTTATTCGTCCACAGCGCTAGGCACCGAACACTTTCAATGACACCCATAAATGGCCAAAGATTCGTCCTTTGGGTTTCCTTGTCCCTTAAAAGCACAACATCTCCAACACACACATCTACTTGGTTGTGCGTCCACTTTTTCCTAACCTGCAACTCTTGAAGGTATTGCTTCCTAAATCTAACCCAGAATTGGTCTGCAAGGTATTGAACGCGTCTCCATCGACGGCGGCAGTACAAGTCTTGTTTGGTGAAAACTCCTGGGGCTGTAACCAATGGGCGAGTTTTCATAGTTAAGAGCATGTTTGGAGTGGCTGTGGGTCGTTCGGATCCGAGGAAATAGCAACGATTGTTCTCGAATTTACAATAGCAGACGCTTCAGCCATCGAAGTTGTTAACAGTGTGTGCGTTAACTGGCAATAGGTCCAAGTTCTAACATCATTTCATTAAGGACCTGACTAACTGTCCGTGATTTGGTGTTCCCAAACGCCACCGAAGTGAGAAGAGTGTGGGGGTTAAATTCCCACTGACATCATTGATCTGTAAGATGTCTGCTAAAATATCCTGGTCAATTTCAGACAAGGCTTGGTCTAACTTAGATTTCGCTCCGATGAAGTTAGTGCCTCTATCGCACCTTTAGGATTGCAATGGGTCCACGATTTAGCAATAAATCTCCTTAATGCACAAAATGCACTTGTGTCCATTGATTACACAATTTCGATATGAATTGCCCTTGAAGCAAGGCATGAAGATAACTCCCCATCGTTTTTCGTTGACAGACCCTCTAGTTCTCCTGGCGTGAATCAGCCAAGGACCGAACACATCCAGTCCGACGTTGGTAAAAGGTGGCCCAGGTTCAATCCTATCTTGAGGCAGATCTGCCATGATTTGTGTTTTCGTAGACATCCTGAGCCGTCTACATGTAACACACTTCCCGATGCGACCATTTGGTGACCACCAGTAATCCAGTAGCCAGCACTCCTTATGGACCCATGCGTGATCTGCTTGCCTTGGTGATGTGTTTGTTGGTGGTAGTAATGTATAACAAGTTTCGAAATGTGATGGTTCTTTGGCAGAAGTATGGGGTGTTTTTCTTGTGCTTCAAGATGTGAATGGGTGGAGCCTTCCCCCAACCAAAGAAGGTTATCTTCATTCAGGAATGGATTCAGTCGAGAGTTTGTTCCCTAGGTAATCCACTGGTACTTTTCTTTATGTGCGTTACTTCCTCACCAAACTCTTCTAATTGGACTTGTCGAATTATCAATTTGCATGCTAGCATCATATCCGTCACCGATGGAGTGATGAGCTCGTTAATTCCCACAGGAATTGCTTCACCATCCCTGCTCACTAGGACGATTCTTGTATTTCCTGGCGATACTTATCAGACATGCTATTGCCCTCTGCAGTTTTTGCCAATTTTAAAACTGCTGAAATCTATATGCGTTCCAATGCCATGTGGTTTACTAACCGTGGTATAGTGTACTGAGATGAATGGTCGAACGTCTGGATCGGAATCTTCGTCTACAGCAAATTTCTCATCAGAGTCTGTTGGTGACACATTTGGGAAGGTTGAATGGTTCAACTTTTCCAATTGCGTTGCAGACGAATCGGGGTGCTAAGCCCCGCCCCTTGGATACTGTTACTAAGGTCCCACGAGACGACAGTGTTAAAACATACGCGAACACGTGCGTTTGTGGGACAACACGTGTGTTTGTAAGACGCGCGCGTATTCCTAGCGCTGTCCTGATTAGTCAGTTGTTAAGTTTGATTGACACTCCGGAAAGGTACGTCAATCGGACTGGGAACCAAAAGATCTCCTCGGTGCACTACACACAGTGGCTACCACCAGTTTAGCCGATAGCACTAAATTGATGGTCATTCAATGAGACAGCGAATTTATCATGATGGTTTAACATAGAAGAATTTAGACTTGAATTGACCTAAGTTGTATACAATTTTATGATGCAGCCACCATCAAAAGACTGATAAGGACTTATTTTTACTTGTTTTACTCAGTTACTAGGGGACACTAAACTGTAGGAGGAATTTTTTTTTTTCACAGAGGGTGGTAAACGTCGTAGAAGCCAAAAGTTGTTTATTCTGTAAACAATTTCAAGGAGTCCAATAGACGAATTATAAGGGTCATATACACTCAGCCCAATAGCCTTTTTCTGTATCTGTATCGTCACGTACAAGCACCAATGCGTACGGTCGGGTAGAGGTGTGTGTAACAATTAAATATTATAATGAGCTTTAGTTGTTTATTTATAAATATTAATTGAGTCCAAAGCAGCTTTTAAATGATTTTATATTAGGTGACATCCGAATATTCTGGCTCAATCAGTTCCATTCCGGAATTGACCTTGGGTATTGCCAAGCAAGTAGAGTGTGTGGTGGTATGGTAAGTTGCTTCACATTTCTTTGTTCTTCATTGTCGCAGACGAAACCATCCGTGTGAAAATGTTAAAAATATTGCGCAACAAATACGTATCACTTCCAGATACTCAAGATGTTTACAGAGACCGTTCTCATACAGTGTTAATTGTTAATGTTGACAAAAAATTCTGAATTGAACAACTTTCATTTTCACGACAATATCATAAACTGAAAGTCTACTCACAAATGACTTCTCGTCTTCTCCGAAACCCGAACCAGAACCAACGTCTCGTTCACCTCGCTGTAAAATAGATGAAACTCCTAAAATATCTATCCCATCAATTTCACCTTTATTATACGCATATTTTAATATACAATCATAAACATAATTATTATTGCTGTATTTCAAAAATTACATCAAACAACAATCAAATGCCAATAACAGGATGCATTAAATTGGTTTACATATATATCAATACATAATATATATTTAAATATATGTATATGTTAAAAATCAATGTTTATAAAGATGCTTTTACCTCCAATGCCAAGTCTTCTTCATCTATATGAGTATCTTGTTGAACGCCAGAGCAACGCTAGATACTACTTCTCGCTGTATATTATATATCTTTAATATTATGCTATATTTACGCTCGCTATTAATACGGGTTGTGGTTATTCCTAATTTCACCCTCAGTGGCGATTATCAGATGTATACCATGCTACAAAACTGCCTCCATAAAACCAAAACAAGAGGCCTTAATTCCTCCAGACTCAAGGTGTTGAGAAAGCCAGTTCTAATCATCAGTCACAAATGCAGCAACTCGTGCGTGTACATTGAGCAATTGAATCGCATCTGTGTGTACAAATTAGCAACTTTGTTGACTACCAAGGCATCTACTTAACAAAATAAAACAATATATATTTATGAGGTTACATAGGGTAAGATGAAATTGAAACCATTGTTTGTTTAAAAATTCTTTTCCCACAACTACGGTAAATTGCTTCGTTTACTTTAATGTTGATCAAAACTGTGAAGAAGTTCTCATTACTGAGTTTGCAACAGTGTTTTTCACTCTGCTGAATTGCTGAAAAGTATGAGAGGCCCTAGCTGTCCCGGGACAGACACTCACGCACTCGCCCCTGTTTGTTTCTCCAATAAAGCGGAATGTATCATAGGCAGCAGAAGGTTCAAGGTTCGAATCCCGGTTGGGCAACTTTCACTCGCAGATTTCCCTTCTTTAACGTTCAACATTTATTATAATATACATATACAGTATATAGCTCGTTTGTTAAGATTTAAATTATTTAAAATCAATGTTCATAAAGATGCTCTTACCTCCAATGCCAAGTTTTCTTCATCTATATGAATATCATTTTCAACGCCAGTCAATGGGACTACCACGGCCAAAGGAGTTGCACAAGATTGCTTTACAACTAAGCTGCCAAACCAGGTGATGCACACCAAAACTAACAGAGAAAGTCGGCCCATTATCATCTACCTGAGGGATTGAAATGAACTTTGCTGGCCAGTGTTTGTGCTATTAAAAACTTTACTCTACACACTAGTTGTGTATTTAGAACCTTATTAATATTACTAATAATATTAGGCCCTATACCACATTCACAAGTACTAGAAACGTTTCACATTTGGTCGCTTTTAGTGACGTGCGAGTACGAAATCAGTGATATCGTGGCCTTTATTGTACCTACAATAGATAACTCGAGTTGTCATTCCGCTTGCATAACACACGTTAACACTGTGATGAATGGGATATTTCAATGAGCGACAATGTTATACAAATTAAAATTAAAAGATTTTTTAATTTTAACATTAAAATGTAGGGTTCATATGTCTTTAATAAGATGCCGAGCGGTTAGCAGGGGCGCCGCAAGCATAGCAATATCGGCGCTGGTTCGAACGGCACGCTCGCCTATATGGTTCTGGTGGTAAGACCCCCTGTGCTGGACATGAAGGGACCCTTAGGGGCGAAGAAAGTCATTGATCGAGTACCTAGTCCACATATCAAGTGCCCTGAGCGTCTTACATTAGATGGATATGTGCGCTTTATAAAACTACATTATTAGTATTATTATAATTATTAATAGGCTTAGCTACAAACATAGTGATCTGTTTTTTATTCAACTTTTAGAAACACACAAGTTCCAACCAGTACTTTACTTGTACCAAAGCATTTGAGCCTAATTCCTAAACAACATAAGCTTTAAGTATTTAGATTCAAAATTCCCGTTCCAATGGGTTTACGACCCTCAGACAACAAATTGTACTTGGCGTCCCACATAGTTATTAATATAATATTCTTAGAATATATAACTATATAGTTCACAATAGTAAATTTTACCCTAACTTTAGAGGGGCAATGAAGCTTTAAGATTCAATTCAACGTAAATTAATGTAACGCTCCATGCGTTGCATTTCTCGCGTTTGCGTCAAACGCATTATAATCACACCAGTAGGCACATGGGAATAAATCATTTTATAACATAGCCTGAGTAGGAAAACAGGAAAATTGTTTAACTTACCTCTATCCTACTTGCTTGCCAAATTACACTCTAGACGTTACTCGCCTTTTCTTGTATTTATAGCCGGTGTATGTCCGGAGATAAACTTCGATTACCAATAGTTTGTCAGCGAAACGGATCAGAGACGGAAGCTAAGTCACGCTGGATTCTGAATTTTTTGTTATCTAAAATAATATAAACTACATCCTAATGGAATTTGCTATTATTAACTTGCAAGTTGAGCACGCAGCATTGCGTCATGACTTTTAAATAATTATTTTGACTATTTCTTTTCCAAAAACATGAAATGCAACTCGTCTATATGAAGTTAACCCTATTGTGTAAGAGACCAAAATACACAATACACATGTACGAAATACGAAATACGAAGAACTTTATTGCAATCTCAAATCAAATCAAAATTGAAGTTTAACAAAGGTGGGGGAAAAATCACACATGAGAAGCATACAAGTATTTTTTTTAAAATACAATAAATTTAATAATAGTCGATTAACTGCAACAGAGGAACAATAAAATCAATTAAACAAGTCGGACCGGCACCCAAAACCATCTAAAAAAAAAAAAAAAAAAAAAAAAACGACTCGCGAAAAATGTAAGAATTACACATTCCGAGGGAGGTCTGATAGTTGCCGCCTGATGAAACAACTAGGATCAAAAGCAAAATGCGTCAACACCAACAGTGGCACCAGAAATGTATTCAGGAAGTTCACTCTGGTGGAACGGCGAGATTGTGCGTACATCCATAGCGCGGCTTCGAATACGGAATCGTTTTTTTAAGTGCTCCTAAATATTTCAGTGTTAGCAATTACTATGAGGAATCATTTTTAAGGAAATACTTGCTACTGATATTTTATACAATCAACAGCGAGTAACTTCGCCAATTTTGGAATGGAATGATGCTTATAAAAACATGCATACATTACGAGCCTTAGGGAGTTTTTGGTCGCTCGAATGGAATGGATAGTTGCCGCCTGATGAAACAACTAGGATCAAAAGCAAAATGCGTCAACACCAACAGTGGCACCAGAAATGTATTCAGGAAGTTCACTCTGGTGGAACGGCGAGATTGTGCGTACATCCATAGCGCGGCTTCGAATACGGAATCGTTTTTTTAAGTGCTCCTAAATATTTCAGTGTTAGCAATTACTATGAGGAATCATTTTTAAGGAAATACTTGCTACTGATATTTTATACAATCAACAGCGAGTAACTTCGCCAATTTTGGAATGGAATGATGCTTATAAAAACATGCATACATTACGAGCCTTAGGGAGTTTTTGGTCGCTCGAATGGAATGAGGGGTTCGAATCCCCGAACTAAAGATGCAATAATCATTAATATTATTAATCATCATCAATAGTGTTCTGCCAGAAGGAAGGTCCCTCAAGAAGTTCTATTCCAGTATTCTAGGTCCTCTGCAACCCTTCAACTCGTTGTAGCATAACTGCTTCCATTCCAGATATCATCAAGCAGCATTATTCTTATTATTCTTTATTAGGCCTATTTAAATAAAAAATATGTAGTGTAACCAATATCACTATCTCTCCTGGCATCTATATAGTGCCTTTCTTCTCAGACACAAAGAGTTAGCACCCGAGTCACACCTAAAAAACCCGGAGCAAGCACGTAACCAAATCAGAATCTTAGAAGTTTAGGGAAGCTTTTAGCCAGGGCTACCATTGGGGAGAGCTTGGCTCCACAGTCGGGGAGAAAAACCACAATTCGCCGGGGAGAAAAACCACAATTCGTCGAGGAGGAAAAAAATGTATATTTATTTTCTACATAGTAGACTCTAAAATCAATTAAATAAGCCTTTGAAACCCCTAAATTGTCATATTTTTCGGAGGCTTTGCCCCCATGACACTTTCGAGAGATTTTAAGCGACGCCCGACTACGCCCTCTCACCCTGTCGGAGAGTTGGAAGTCTCATCGGGCAAATCCTGGCGCCAACTCAGCACTCATTGCATACGGCCCCAAGCCCTCCGTTTTGGCAGACGCTTCCTCTGCTTTTCCTTTTTTCTTTCCTCCTTCTTTCTGTTTCTTTTGCTTCTTTCCCTGCTGTTCTTCAATAGGCAGTGGTTTGGTAAACTTTATAATTTCACGACCTATATAGACTATTTGTACAACAAATAGAAATCAACATGATTAAATCTCTTATAATTAAATTTATTTTATCACTAAATCTAAGAACATTTAAATACACAAAAGTGTGTAAAAGTTGTAAATTATCCTGTGTACTCATAAGGATAGCGCTTTCTTTTCTTTTCTTTTTTTTTTCAATGCCCAAAGTTTTACCGGTTCCAGATTTGAGTTGAATAACTTTGTGGTTAAGATGGTGGCTTTCCAATCTCAGTGTCCTGGATTAAGTTCCTGTCACGGAAACAGGATTTTTCTCACAACCTAACCAACTCTACTCCCTAAGAGATTTAGTTTGTGTAAAGCATCATGTGAATATGTCTGTCTAGTGAAAGGGATTGTCACGATGTTCGACCCAGCATAGAATAAAGTTATAATTGTTCTACGAATGACCCTTCATTAAAGAAAGGATAACAATTCCCTTCGTACGTCATCAAGGTCCTGTTAAACAATTAAAATATGCTCGATCTAGGAAGAAGATAAACACTACACCACAACAACTTATGGTAAATCGATATATGAATATAATAATGACCTACAGTATTCAGATACCCAGGACACAACTGGTAGTTCTATTTAAAAATAGGCATATCATGTCCACAAAACAGGTCTCCCTACAGTTGCAGACAGGCGATTTCATGATCTGTAGTAACTTTGGTCTTTTATTAGAAACAAAATCAATCAATAAATCAATCGTTCCATTTATATCGCGCCATTTCAACAGTCGTTGCTAGTGGTGTCGTTCCAATAAAGAGATTAACAATAACATTTATATAGCACACATTTCTACAATATACATCATAAGGCCAAATAAAATAAATTGTTTGTTGCCCTTCTTTAAAAAAAAATTATCAATAGGGGCGGGTGGAAAAAGTATTTTTTTATTTCCTTAAATACTAATCAGATGGAATAAAAATAACCCACAGAGGCCTATAATGGCAATATCATACATCAGACAATAACTTTAGACTAATTTGTAGGAATTCTGGAAAAAATAAAGACAAGTTCACACACATATTTTTTAATTTGTAAAGAAAAAAACTGAAAAAAAGGGGTTTTTTTTTGTTTTTCTGCCCCAATTTCTATCAGTGAGTTGGGGCGGGCGGAGGAGGGCAAACAATTTTTTGGCTTAATTAGCGGCGCATACATGACTAGTTTAATTTTTTTTTTTTTTTCTTTTTAATTAAAAAAATAAAGATTATTAAAAAAAGAGTTATTAAAAAATATCAAATTATTACAGAATTATTAAAAAATTAAGATTTGTTGTCAGTGTTAATAGGTTTGTGCCGAGAATCTGGGACAGCACCACCAGTACATAAGCAAAATGGAATGAGGGGTTCGAATCCCCGAACTGAAGGTGCAATAATCATAAATATTATTAATCGTCATCAATATTGTTCTGCCAGAAGGCAGATCCCTCAAGAAGTTCTATTCCAGTATTCTCAGTCCTCTACAACCCTCTTCAATTCGTTGTAACTGCTTCCATTCCGGATATCATCAAGCAGCATTCTTCTTATTATTTTTATTATTTAAATAAAAATATGTAGTGTTTAATCAATATCACTATCTCTCCTGGCATCTATATAGTGTATTTCTTCTCAGATACAAAGAGTTAGCACCCAAGTCACACCTCAAAAACTCAGAGCAAGCACGCAACCAAATCCGAATCTTAGAAGTTATTCCTTTTATTTACCATATATTTTTCATCACTAAACAATGGATAATTTTTACCTTCAAAAGATATGTAGACTGCATTGATATCTAAATGAAATCTATTGCTAGCCCTTAATTGATTAAGAGGATAAATGAAAAATATGAAAATCATCCAGTTTACAAAGAAAATAAGTGGGCTAGAATATGCTAACAGCACAATGCATGAATATACAAGCTCAGGGTAAAATCGAAAGTATGCAAATTCGAAAACCAGGTAATTGATATCAATTAGCATATTACACACACTCATTCAGAGGTGGCTCCAGTCAGGGCTACCATTGGGGAGAGCTTGGCTCCCCAGTCGGGGAGAAAAACCACAATTCGCTGGGGAGAAAAACCACAATTCGCTGGGGAGAAAAACCAAAATTCGTCGGGGAAAAATAAAATGTATATTTATTTTCTACATATAGTAGACTCTAAAATAGATTAAATAAGCCTTTGAAACCCCTAAATTGTCATAATTTTCAGAGGCTTTTCCCCCATGGACACTTTTGAGAGATTTTAAGCGACACTCATTGTTCTATTCTATTCTATTCATTTTTATTTATATAGCGCCTTTCTTTGCAGATACGAAGCGCTTCTGTCCCTGGTCAATGGATCCACATGCATAAGTTGCTGCTGTATTCAGCACAGGAGCAAGCAACCCCACCAGGTACCCATTTATACTCAGGGGTGGAGAGAAGCAATGCAGATAAAGCGAAATGCACAGCAAGGGATTGAAACCCCGACCTCAAGGTTGGGAAACCAAACCTTTCACGCTGCGCCAAACCGCTTCTTGTTGTCGGGGAAATCGCCCTCTCACCCTGTCGGGGAGTTGGAACTCCCATCGGGCAAATCCTGGCGCCAACTCGCCACTCGTTGCATTCTCTTGATTAATATATGCATGAATATAAATTATAATAATTTAAATAATTATGTAAATCAAATCTGCATAAACATATAATCTGGCATATGCACAATTAATGTTTGTAGGAATGTATAGTAGGTTGGTGACCAATTAAAGAAAACAAAACATTCAGATACATCTTATTTGCATATTATCAGGTGTATACTTAAATTTGCCACAATTTAATTCAATCACTACATAAAAATAAAAATTTTGATTTGAGTTTTTGATAGATAAATGTGGATTTTTAATGTTCCCTAATCAATACATTCAACAGAAGTGTGAAAAACTTTTATACGATGTTCATTAGCTTTTTGTCTATGCTAACAAGTAAGTTATTTCATAAACAAAAATGTAATGTTTTGGGAGGATGACATGTTGTTTGTTACTGGATAAGATTGGTACTCTAGCAATACTTCGTAGTGATTCAGTTTACTTAGGAGTTTGGCCCGGGATTTATCAATCTCTGCTTAGCAAATGTCTTAAAAGTATGTCCCTAAGCAAAAATCTTAAGCTGATTTATCAAACCATCTTAAAAAAATCTTAGTTTAAAAATCGCTTTAGATTGCACATGATGCATAAAATCGTCTTTAATTTTAAGCAATTTTTAAGCTAAGCAATATTGATAAATCTGACTTCAGCAAAAAATTGACTTTATGGACGAATTTAAGCTGATTTCTAGTTTGATAAATACGGCCCCAATCCCTCCCATCCAACTATTTATTTATTTTTTAATTTCTGTATTTTTTAGCAATACAAGAATAAGAAAGAGAAGAGGAGAGTTTACCTCCAAAATGTTGAAGCTGGCATGCCTCAAGCTACACATAAAATATAACCATAAGCTGGTTATGTTTAGAGTAACAATTTATCACTATTATGTGGTGTTCACACAAATACTGTGATTAATTGTAGTCTTGAGTATTATACTGGTATTTAATTGCATACTCTAGTGTTTAGTGGTGTTTATATAGTGTTTACTGTTTTTACAGTGTACACTTGGCTTTAATGATGTACAGTAGTGTTTAATGATGTATACTGGAGTTCGAAGATGTACACTCTGTTAACAGTGTAAACTGGTGTTAAATAGTAACGTGATGTACAGTGTTCAGTGGTGTACATTGATGATTATGATTACATTGCACATGCACATGTTTTGGCTAATGTTGCATCATGACTCTAGGTTATTGTTCAGGGTATTACAGTCCTCAAGTACTTGGCCAATCACATCCTTTGTTTTATTCCTCAGTTTTGGCAGACGCTTCCTCTGCTTTTCCTTTTTTCTTTCCTCCTTCTTTCTGTTTCTTTTGCTTCTTTCCCTGCTGTTCTTCAATAGGTGGTGGTTTGGTAAACTTTATAATTTCTTTTAAACCTGTGGAAGATACACGACCTATATAGATTATTTGTACAAAAAAATAGAAATCAACATGATTAAATCTCTTATAGTTACATTTATTTTATCACTAAATCTAAGAACATTTAAATACACGAAAGTGTGTAAAAGTTGTAAATTATCCAGTGTACTCATAAGGATAGGGCTTTCTTTTCTTTTCTTTTCTTTTTTTTTTCAATGCCCAAAGTTTTACCGGTTCCAGATTTGAGTTGAATAACTTTGTGGTTAAGATGGTGGCTTTCCAATCTCAGTGTCCTGGATTAAATTCCTATCACGAAAACAGGATTTTTTCTCACGACCTATCCAACTCTACTCCCTAAGAGATTTAGTTTGTGTAAAGCATCATGTGAATATGTCTGTCTAGTGAAAGGGATTGTCACCTACAAGTAGGATAGTGATATATTTACTACTGACAATCCTTGGTGTATCTGTTGTGAGCCTAAATAAATAACTAATAAAAATTACATAAATAAAATACTGATAATACCAATTTCAAGAAGACATCTTACCTTCAGGCATAAACGGTCGTAGAATCTCTGGTACAATGACGCCATCTTCAGTTTGATTGTTTTCTAGAATACAGCAGATGACGCGTGTGGAAGCGCACATAGTAGCGTTTAGCATGTGTACATACTCGGCCTGTTAAACAACATATATTTTTAATTTAAACCATAAAGTAGGACTCTTTACTAAATTCTGAGCCTGATTCATCCTTATATCTGTTAAAAATATAAACATCTTTAGCTTTTCTATACCAGATTGGCTGAAATGCAATCAATAAAAATATTTTTCAAGATACTCTGTGCTTCAGCAGGTCATACAATAATATGTAATAAGGTTTAAGTATGGTACAGTAATAATAATAAATCAAATAATAACAATATTAATAATAATGCCTCTCTTGTATGGTGTATTCTGCAGAAAAAGCCTGATTGACAACAACAAAAGATAAAATAAACATGTGAACAGGTATTGTCAATTTAGGGAGGCGTTCACACTGATTATGTTAGATAATGAAGGTCTCAGACATTGCTTTCTTAATTTATTTATTTATTTCAACAATATTTTGTGAGGGTGGTCCATCTGGCCAGAGCTGATCATTAAGGACCCTCAATACATAACACAATAATAATAATAATATAATAATAATAATAATAATAATAATAATAATAATTAATGTATTTAAACCTACACACCTGTGTATTCATTTTCTTGACCTGTCCATATCGTACTAATAACCGCCTTGACTGGTAGTCAGTACAATTTGAGCATGATACTAATTCTCTAAAAGCACCACCCCCGGGAAACCACGCTTCCACATCTAACTTCTTTGCTGCAGCATTATTGAGGGCTCCTGTTAAATATTATGTAAAAACATATATTAGATAAACTGTGGGCTACAAAATATACTGTATTGAGCTAATTCTTTAGCAATATGTGGCGAAAACAAGCCAAACCAGTCACTTGTCGCAAAAATCAATTTTGAGTTAATACATGGTTAAAGAGTAAAATAAGAGCTATAAAATGGTAAAAAATAATTCAAATCCGATATTTTCTTATGAAGTTGCAAGCGTTTAACCCTTTCCAGTCGTACGGCATTGTGACGACGCCGTCTTTGACCATACTTTATAGCGAGTTGCGTCGTACGCACTCCCTGTATAGATTTCATAATTTTTTTATAGCTAGGCTGCTCTCTATAGGATTGTTTGAGAGTGATGTAGGTGTATTTCTGTAGAGGACCTCCTGTATTCAGACCAAATAAAATGCCTGCGCCAGTAAAAACCCGACATTAAGTGTAGATGATGTAATTTCTCAGTTTTGGTACAGCCTCAGGCAATGGTAATGGGGCAGACTGGAAAGGGTTAACTGAATTATGGTATAATATAGCATTTAAAGAATGCACGCTTATCAGAAAGGAAAATAAAGGGATTGATTTTTGGTGTATCTATCACTTACTGGTTTTGCCTAATGATACAAAAAAAAATTATACTTTTGCAAAATTCATGTTTAATGATTTCCTATAGACAGCTACCTGACACGATGTTGACAACACGGTAAGGCAGACCAAGCGACTGACAGAATTCCTCCGCATTCTCAATCATGTGATCAAACATTTCCCAAGACTTGTTGTCATGTGGAGAAGTGATACAAAACTGTTCCACCTTTGAAAAGAAAACATTTAAGTAATTAAGAAATAACCAGACAATATTATTATATTTTTGTATAAGTCATACTCAATTGAATTTCTTTCAGATTTTCTTTCAGATTTTTTAAACCACATATTGGGCAAGGTACTTATTACATTTGCCTTTCTCCACCCAGGAATATAAATAAGTACCTGGTAGGATGATGTAGCACTGCATGTATTAGTCTGTTCGGCATTAAATTGTACGCATGACTAGGAATACTCTCCAGGTAGCGGAGGTGGTTGCACTTTGTGCTGGTTTCATTATTAATCCAATGACCAGGGGGGTAATAATAACAACATTGCCACCGCCTAGTACCCCTTGGTAAAATGTGCAGTATACATCTCTATATTATTATTATTAATTCCTCTATACAATGTATCGCAGTTTTTCACTCCATATAGCAGCTGTCACACTGAAGATGACAGTTGTACAATTCCGAAACATGCATGTTTTAACAGATTTTTTTGTTATAAAATCAGCTAGGTCTAGCCTACATGGTAGTGAGCTTGAAAAGTATTGTATTTTTAAGAAATAAATATCAAAAGTGGCATACCTAGAGGTACAGGGTACTGAAATAGGGGGAAAAAATAATAGGGACATGAATGTGAAGTGGGAGGTTCGCTAGTAAATTAAGGGGTGCTAGCTGGAAAATTAAGGTGGCATGAGGTGATTTTTAACTACTTTAGCTTACTTTTTGGATTCAAATACTTCCAGTGGGTAGGGTAAGCTGGAGAAGGCGAGTCACAAAATTATTTTTGAGAGCGTGTCTAAATTTAAAATACTCTATAAAATACTAAATATTATCATTATATTATACAACACCTTTTCAAATTGATGAACACGAAATATTCCCCTAGTGTCTCTGCCATGAGAGCCGACCTCTTGCCGGAAACAAGTTGAAAAGCCAGCATACTTCTTAGGTAAGTCGGCAGTGGCCATCCACTCATCTCTATGGTATGCTGCGATTGGCTGTTCAGAGGTTGCTATCAGGTACTTTTCCTCATACGTTGTGTCTTCGGCTTTCTCGCTGCCTTTGCCAATAACCTGCAGATGAAGATATTTATTTTGAGTATATCAAAAAACTTTTACTAACTGTGTAGATCTGCAATCTGCACTTTCATTGTTGCTTTTAGATTGCACATAGCTACTGGGTGTTGTGAAATCTGATTTTTTTCCCCCCTGTATCTGATGTATTTAATGGACGATACATAACATGATATCATAGTATTTTTGGAGCATTTAATTGTTCTTCTTTGAATAGATGGTTAGCACTGAGTCAATTATTTTTCATTGGATGGGCTTATCATAAAACATGGCTTGCCGAGCTAAAACTAGCATCAATAACAAAAACATGAAAATTTACTTTTTAATATATTCATATTCTATACATTATAATCAAGGGTCATAGACTAGAATCGATTTAATATTCAAAGTTATAAGTAAAAGTATTACAGCTTCTCTGTACTAAAGTATACAATTCTGCCATATTCTTATACTAATTACTCAGTTTAACATTTAAAACAGTACGCTAGTTTTGGGATAGCAAGCCTCAAAAAGTAATTTATACAAAAAAATATAAAATAATAAAAATATTAAGCATTCTTTATTATTCAAATAGCCAAAATATACTTGAGAAACAATTAATAATCTAACCTTGTAAAGTTCTTCATCAAACTGGCTAAGCTGGGCTACCTCTTGCATGACTTGTTTATTCATGAAGAATGGCGTGTAGAGAGCTTCGTAGCCCTTCTTGTACAGGGACTGCAAACCATGCTGGATAATAGCTTGCGAAAGGAACACTGCTGGTCCCTATGTAACAATTATCATTATTATTATTATTATTATTATTAATATTATTATTATTATTATGATAATTATATTATAAATTATAAAAATAATAGTATTAATTATCTAAATATATTTAGTGTACTTTGTAAGTAAATGCATAAACATAATTAAATCATAATACACCAAGTAAGAGCATAATTTTAAAATTTGCTTATCATTTTAATATCAGAAAATATTACTATAATTTTTATGTCAGAATATATCTAATAACAAAAACATTTTTTTTTTGTACCTTTAAGTAGTAGCCTCTACTACCAGCCGTTGTGGCGCCCCTTTCACATTCCACTCCATCAATCATGTGAATAAGATCCACATGCGAATATTTCTTTTTGGTTGTCGTATCTCCGAATGTTCTCTCAACTTTGTTCTCATCCTGCAAAATAAGAACAACAAAAAAAGTAAAACAGTGGTTTGGAAAACAGAGTTCAATTTCCTCTTCATTCCATACATAAATTTTCCAGCAACATACGGTAGTATTAATGCGATGCTAATGGGCATAGCAATTTTTTTTTTTTTTTTTTAAATTGAAAGCTAATGAATTAATGTAGATGTCAGGGTGTTCACATTTTCATTATTATTCATGTGGCATTTATATTTTGATACAGTACTAGAATAATCCAAAGAATATAATTCTTTCAATTAATTATAAGTTACTATATAAAAACATTTGATAAAATTTATTTTAATATAAATTGTATTAATTTTTTATATACATTTATCTTAGGTGGTAAGACGGCTTTGTAGGAGCTCTTGTTCACCTATTCACTCCTGGCCATATACTAGTTAGCTTGTTTATTTTTGCCAGTAAAATTTTAGTAAAATAAATAAAATCGAATTTAAATAATTTTTTTATATTGCATAAAAAAGCTTAACAAACCATATGTGTTAATTTGAAAATACTGTACATACATTATTTCTAGCTGTACTAGCATTCAGAAGTATTAAACTAATGTTTTTCCAGATAGAATTTTGTGAGAATCAAGGACATATTTTAGGTATTGCAAAATATCACTATAAAAATAACAATTATAAGCATTTCGTCACATCACAAAATAACACAATTGAAGTAGATTGTGTTAGTTCATGAAATCACCTGTGAATTATGAGCCTGTCAGCTGCTCTGCCCTGTCATGAAAAACTCACTCAACTGCATTTAACAAAGTTCTGAGATAATCAACAAAACGT